CAAGATAAAAAACATATCGCACTTTAAACATATATTTTATACGATATGGAAGTTTTGTTTCCATTCCAAGAATATGTCCCTTTAGAGAACATTTTATTGGAAATCGAACGCACCAACCGTGTTATCCTTTGTCAGGATACCTCAGTGCAGAATATTTCTATATACTGGCAAGATAGCCGACTCCTGTATGTTCCAAGGTCAAGGTTCTCATTATGAAAATGCGTTCGGGTTTTAAGCCATGTTCCAGTATAAAATCTTTGATGAAAACTGTATAGCGGACAGTTGGACTGACTGCTCTATGTTTCACTTACAGTAGGACCAATCCAGTTAACTTGTCAGGATAATTTGTTCGACTCAATGTTTAAGAGATATTTGGACAGACATAGTTGCTTATTCAAGAACATTAGTTTCGACTCAGCTCTGTTTCACTCGGTTCGACTCGGCTGTAGTGCAATATTAGCTGTATCTAATCGGTTATGTTTCAAGGCCAGCTGGGCCGCCAGGGCTGTGTCGCACGGACTTTTGGACCAACAGAGTTTAAAGATTAAAAAAAAGGATTTACTCAACCCAGCTGTTTCATAACAATCTCAACCTAAACAATTGTATTTAAAATACGACTGGACAACTTTTTTAAGGACAGACGAACTCATTAGTGTTTCAAAGACAACGCTACTGACATAACTAATTCTGTAAATAAAGGAAAATTGGACCACAATTTCTTAAGTTTCAAGGACAGTTGGTTTGACTTATCTTTTGAGAAAGAAAACTTGACGGACACAGCTGTATTCAAAGAACAAAACAACACATTTATGTTGCAAGGACAGTTGGACAGATACAGTTGTTTGTTTAAAGGGCAACTGGAGCAACTCAAATTCGTTGCAGGGACAGTTTGGCTGACATTTTGATAGACTAAGTTATGTTTCAATGACATTTGGACTATCGACAAAACTGTGTTTCAAGGAAAGATGGTCGGACTTTTTTCAAGGAAAACAGGGTCGACTAAAATATGTTTCGAATGTACAAGGAAAGCTAAACCGATTCAGTTGTCTTTTAAGGTTAGTTGGACCTACTTAATTGTGTTTTCATGACCGAAGGGCTGACGAAGGTTTATTTCAAAGTACCGTAATATGTTAAAAGATGTTGGTGGCAGTCCCTGTCGTTAAGCCCAAACACGCCACTTTGTTTTGGTGATTGAGATGAAACAAACAAACATTATTAACAAATTAATAGTGTAATAGCGTTACACTGCTGCAATTACATCTACGCTGGGTATAGCATTAAAGTATCGGGTCACGGTGCACGTGTCCATTCCATTTTGATACGTATCGCGCGATATACCGTAAACATGTTTTATTGGGGCTTGGTTGGTTTTGGTGTTTTTTTCTTTTTACGTCCTATTAACAGCTATGGACATTTAAGGACGTGCCAGGTTTTGATGGAGTAGGAAAACCGGAGTACCCGGAGAAAAACCACCCACTTTCGACCAGTGTCTGACTGCTTCACGTTCTCCTCGAACCCGCGAACCAGTGGTAGAGGGCTGGTGATCGTAGAAGGTCAGACGCATTAACCACAGCGGTCTCCGTTTTTGCCGGGGATATTGTTTTTCGAGGAAACGGCGTTCACAATGTTCGTTTAACTTTTGTCCAATCCCTTTGCGTGTGTATGTTTTAACTATATCTGTTGTCTTTGTATATTATGATTGTTCGATCAAGTCGCAATAATGTTGCCCACTAAAACTTCCCGTATGTCAAGAATTGACGTCTCCGTATTTTGACGTTAAAATATTTTCAAATGTATGTAGCAATAATGTACAACACTGTGTCGTTTCCTTCTCATACACATACTATCATTCAAGCTAACAACTTAATTCTCTTTGAGGGTACATGTATGTTATTAGCGTATTATGTTTCGTTTTATTGTTGTTTTGACACCAGAAGAAATAGTATGGCCCACATACATGTGTACTTTGTCCCTTTCGAGTACATTATTGTAAGTGGCATTCTAGTGTAGCGGTACCGGTGAGGTCGTGTGAAATGTACGAGAAACCACGTGCGTTCTGTGATTTGTATGACTGCCGACACGTAACAATTATACAACATGTATAACTGACAGACAGAAATCAAAACCACATGTAAGAAATGTCAATCAGTGAAATCCCATCTCAAGGTTAAATTCCAAGGTCAAAGAGCGTGACGTGTCACCACATGCTCGACATCGGTCTTTCGTTCAGAATTTGGCAAAAATGTAAACACCTTTTCTCATGCTTGTAAATGGACATATTTTCTTTAGGGCACCGAGGACTTGTACTGTTACGAACGGCATGGTGCAAATTATTTTCCAATGCATCTTCGGATACATCATCCTGGTTAGTAAGCACAGATTGGACAAAATAATATGTCAGAGCTGGTGGCCAGACGGACTCTCGGTATAAAATTAACAGTCTTGATAATAAACATTGTTTTAGTATAAGTCACTCACCCGGTCGGACAGACGTGACACAATGCATCAACTCATTTTGTAGACAGTCGTGATCCCATCTCATGTTAAAGTATCATCATAGTATAAAACATATAATATATGCTGTTGGTGGCGGTGATTGTCTCAGAACTTGTGTCTATCCTGAAATATTTTCTCAATATGCTGTTCGTGTCGATGATGGTGCCCCTACACAGTTTTATTCTTTAAAAATATCGGAAAATATCGAAATAAGGGTAAATAGAATGGACAATGTATTTTGATATCACTTCCGGTCCACTAGCGGTGAAACATTGAAACGTTACAGCTCCCATCATTTACAGAACTATATTCCGTTTGACCTGTTAAGGATTTCTATGAAACACCATAAGATTTGATGTCTGTGTCACTCATTTGGGTATGACAGACACAATGCAGCAAGTTAAAAGAAAAATACGATGAAATCACCGGAACAAGATCATATGACGTCACATCATATCTGCAAATATAGGTAAAGCTAGATTGAAAGCTCTTATTCTAATTTTTCTTACATAGGAATAGAAAAACAGACGTCGAGATGAAATTCTTGAATGTCTTATCATGAGTTTGAAGTAGGCCTGGGGTTAAACAATCAAGAATATCACCCATCGGGTCGAGATTACTGTGTCATATCCTCATGGCAGGGGCAATCCTATTTAAACAATTAGTTGACGTCAAGGGAACAATAAAGTTTGAGGTCACAACCAACATTCGGTGGAAAATGTAAATTGCGAATCAGACATACCAGACTAATTTTAATGGATTTGTGATACAAATAATAGCACGGAAGAAAATTAATCATCCTCTAATTTGAGGGTGTGACATAGAAATGTCCGACCCTCGGGTTTCGCAACCAAAATATCACTCCTTGGCTCAGAAATTCCACTGCCACATCCTTATTGTAAGAGAGGGAATGTTTCGTACCGTGGGATGTCATTTCCCAGTGGCAGAGACACAACGGTGTATCTCCATTTGATGCCCATGTCTCTAATGCCTTATGACAAGGGCAAAAACTGTCCACAGTAAAAAAAAAAACAAAAAAAAAACCACTTCCTCTGCGTGAACCAATTCCTGTTCCACCGGCATATGCGCAATGTAGCAACGTGACCAGGAATGGCTCCCGTAACAGCCCTTAGATTAGTGATATTACTACATCCGGATGGAAACACGCTCAAGGTTCCTAGAAAGCCTTTTTCTCAAACTGACGTGCATGTTTCCTACGCGTTTACTACCTTTCAACAGATTTTGAACTGTCATAATTTGACAGTCCCAATCATAGTTATTTTGTGTTCCGTTCTGAAGATGAGAAACGTTTAAAACCCATGGCGTGTTATTACTGGGACGGTCGCCTCTCTAACTCTAATGAGCTGGAGGAGGACCTGGGAGGGCTCTTCTCGCTACCAGAAGCTAACGCGCCACTTTACGCCAACTCTCATGCGTGTCAAGAAGACGCGACTTGCCCGAGACGTCAATCTATCCGATTTTAATGAATGAAGTGTTCGCTAAGTGTTAATTACTAAGAATAAAACAAAGATAAATCAAAATTCTCCTCCGATATCTTAAAGGAAATTCGACAAAACCTAGTTTTGAAGGATTCATGCCGAATTTTAACAGGGTATATTGCCAACCTGACGCCAGCTAGATTTAGAAACAAAATAAATTAAAATTTCTTTAAAGTCAAAATTACACATAAAAACTCACAATAATCTAGTAATTGGTATTTTTTAAATCCAAATGAATGTTAAATAACTGGTAATTTTACAATAAAAATCAAATTAGCGTGACAAAACTAATTTCAAAATGTAAATAATTTCCAGAAAATGTTGGTACAGCGCAGCTATTTCATTATAACAGTCGCGGTTTAAACCATTTGCAAATTACGTTTTTTTTTCATAACTCCTAGTCAAATGAAAGACAGAAAGTCAAAAGATTACATAATCATATATTGTTACACATTATAATGACCTCGTACCAACCAGTGGCAATTTCATGTCTGCGTGATTCTATACAGTGTAGATATTTACAAAAATCAACTATATTAACCTAATCAGAAAATCGGTAGCTTTTAAAAGAATGAATAATGCATTCAAAACTGTAAGCTTTCCAACTTTGCACTAACTTCTTAATGTATGACTTGACTTCTTTTACGTGTAAATGTTAGAAATTAAGACGCATGGGACAATCTTTAATATGTGGATTTGGGAAAAAAACAAAACGCCTTATTAATATTTTCCCCGACCTATCCACAAACACAAGTTATAGAATGAAGATATTTTTCGTCTAAGTACCAAAAATGTCCTTTGATGATAAACTGACTGTATTATGAAACGGGATATTGTATAGAGATTATGGGAAAATATTTCAAAATCTTCACAAAGACGAACTTACGGTAAAATATCATACGAAAAACGTTTGATGTAAATACAAATTTGTCGCCGGAAGAAAATTCAATTGATATTTTAATATGGATTTAATTTCCAATTCATTTGACTGTTAAGGTTGTTCACAATAAAAGCCCTGACCATTTGATCGGCTTATGACTATAATAGGATATAACACAGTCTGATAATGTTAGTGAAATTTTCACGCAACTTGTCACAATCGGTCAATATGAGAACGCAAGTGAACCATCGGTCACAGCAGCACGTGCAGCAGACGCGCGCAAAGCCGCAAGCCGCGTGAAGTTGGAGACATATACGTTCCCGTGTGTGTTCAGTAGCAAAGGAGAAATTAATGAGGCAGAAAATTGGTGAAATTGATATATTTTCACTCGTTGAACGGCATGCAACAAGCACGCGACAGTCATTGTTGGCGTTGGTTTAGGAGTCTGGTCAAAGGTCACGATGTCAATCTGTAGTAACACTAAACACAATTTACAAACGTAACAAAAATACAAGGATTGTTTTCTGTTGAATCGTAATTTAACGATGCGATATTCCTTTGTTTGGCAACTGTTAAAAGCATCCACACAAAGGCTGATGACGTCAGAGTATTTCACGCGTGTACTTTGTCCGGACAATTAGACTATGGGTCGTCGAGGAAATGCTATCTTTGTTCCTACTTCGTATCATGTACGTGCATCTTTTTATGTCTTTTTTCCTTCTAAAGTAATTGCAGTCAGGACGTAAACTATATATATATATATTTCAAACGTGTCGTTCTTCATAATACGCTTATAAACCATGTGTTCAAGATGACAAAGAATGGGTACGCGCACGTGTTACATTGCATCCAAGCGTATCAACGGCAGGTGTGTCAACAAAATGGCTATAACAATACAAGGCATTGTGTGATTTATAATTAATCATAATATGCGCCAATACAATCTTTTAAAGTAAAATCCCCTGCGTATTTTGTCGACAGCTATTGGTAATGTCCGATGAACGATAAACATAGAGAAAGCGACACAAATGGATCCACAAAAACGACTATCGTTCACCAGTCTAGAAACACGGCAGCGTCCTCTTGGCGTACTGAGTATCTAACTGCACACTCGGCTGTTTACACACGAAGAGGGGAACAGGCCAGCTCAATCTAATGTGGGTTTCATCTTTCGGTCTTAGTATTCTGTGAGCCGATTCAGCGAGTGACTGTGCTACAGAGCACTCCGGTGGGGACACACACACATCACAGCACGTGGAACTATTTACTTTGAGTTTGTGAGACCCTGAGTCGGCTGCATCTCAGCACTAAAATATAGTAAGCAGCGTCGTGTGCTATGATATTCCCGTGCCGTTTCAACAAGTTAGTTGGTGCTACATTCGTGACCAGCCGTGTTGACGGATAGATTTGATATACAGTTCATTGATAGATTTTTTTTTTATTTAAATACCTGATCTCTACACCCGCCGGAGCGTTAACTGTGTTGAATGAGAGGTACCCTTGACATACGACAGTCGTCACGGATCACATGTGCTCAACTGTCTCTCAATACCTATAATGGCGTCTGGGACTAGTTGGATCGTCTGCCTGTTGTGTTTGGTGCTGGTGGGATTTACTTACTCACAAGGTAGGACAGTTTGTTTACACCCCTCCCAGATCCGTCCTTGGGTCCGTATACTCGATCTCCTTGTCGTTCATGCGAGAGAGCTAGCTACATATACCAGCACCTGTTACAACAGGTGTATGTATATACTGTATCTATCTTTATACCTTACGCCAAAAGTGGTGTCAGTTGGTAATTTCTTATGTTTACCATTGAAATAAATATGTCTTCTTTTGGCTAAGGGTTTATTTTGCCACACCGGCTCTATAACGTTAACACTAACTGAAGTTTGTAAACACCAGCACTCTTACAGCGCACACCTATATATAAATCTAACAGTACATATACAAACGTGTGTGAATATGTGTGTGTATGTATACTGTTATAACTAGGTGTATTATAGGTAAACATATATACATGTAGCTATATATATACACACACATACATACATGATGTGTGAATTTTGAAATAAAAAACAAACGGCCCGCGGAGGGTGGACGCGAAGATTTAATGTAGCTCAAAGCCTTGTGAACTCGGTGAGGCACACCAGTAAAATGTCACTACACGTAAACACTTTATTAATTACACCGATGGCTGCTTTGATGCGCTAGAATGATTTTATATCTTGTTACATGAAAAAGACAGGTGGAAAGGGCAGGTGGTATTTTTGAAAGAATCGTCTTTCTTTGAAGGCGAACGAAACGTGCCATAATCGGAGTACCCCGTGTTATAAAACGCTTGCTTATCAAACGGATTTTGTTGACACATAGTGTAAGGCAACTTAAACTGTTTATTAGTTCTAATGTACATATATATACACACACAACCGGACTGGGCAATGCAATTATAATCGGCTGACCGCACGGACAGGCGAGATAAGGAACTCCCCTAACTTTAATCACTAAAATTCGGTTCATGTCTCCATAAATATACGGCGAGTCTTACGCAGGACCTAAAACAACGTGTGTAAATCGTGAATTCATTGACATATACATAATACACTAGTATATTTTTCTCTGATGCCAGTCAAGCATGAAGTTTAACTATTGTATTTGTGTCGAGGAGGTCCCAACACATTCAGTTGTGAGCCTGTATGGTAACACTAGCCACTACAGCAATGATACCGCTGACATTTGTCTTTGTATGTCATGAAACGAAAAATTATCTTATCTCCGAAGTATGATTGAAGAGGATTTATGAGGGCACACTGCACGCGGGCTGTTATATAGCGTTCATGTATCATGTCAACCGGATTTCGATGAAAAATAATGCATTTTGAAATATTATTTTTATGATAAGAATTATTTTGATTAAAGTTTAAAATCAAACATAAAATTTATAAATGATAAGGAAACAAATTTTTGAGAGAAAAAATGTTTTAAATACAACTATTATCATTAAGAGAGGTCAATGCGATGAAGTATTAACCTAACCAGACATTGATAACCTCCAGTTTGTTACGGGATTGTCTGGTATGTCAATATCAGTGGTGTCCATATATCATTGATATTTTATCAACTTAACCAGTCTCCAAATACTTGTCGCTCGAATACTATCGTGTAAGGTTCCATATAACTCTCCACAGCGCTGGCTTGATACGAGAATAGATCTCAAGTTCAAATAGATATATAAAATATGTACACCCTGTGTTATGGAAAGGAGTTTTGTCTTATATACAGTTTTGAATGTAGAAAATTTAAACTTATGTGATCATTTAAGTCAGAAACTGTCGACGAGCGGAAATTTGAAATGTCCCTTTTCAATTTAGAAATTGCAAACAGAACATAAATGTCAATGAGACACACTTCTAAACTCGTTTCGTTTTAACGGTTTATAGTTTACAATTTGAGAAAATTAGATGTCTGGCTGAAAATGATCGACATCCTTAGGCTTTATAGATTATTTACAAGGGTACTTTTCTAAATTTCATAGCGTCTTTTGTTTTGAATTTGAAAAGCAATGCGTCATTCTTATAACTAGTCTGTTTTAAGAAGACCGTTCACAGTTTTTTCTGTATCTAGTGCATTGACTATCATTCCACAGCTATGTTATTTTAAAGAAGCCGGTAGAATGTCTGCCTTAGACATGCTATCCTATACAACATCGAAATCTTGTGCAATAGCCAACAATTTCAGTTATTGCAAACATTCCGACAAGTGCATTTAAGTTATATATATACATATATAGCGATCGTTTTCATACACCGAAATCACATAGACTTTTATAACTGCATGTTAAATATTCAACATTAAGGCTATATGCTACATTACACGGTGTACGTGTGATTTGTGTTAGAGTTATCTCCTCTATAAATATTTTTTAATTATGTTTTTTTTTTAAACTAATATTTTAATTTATTCATCCTTGTTTCCCTTTAAACGCGTCATTAATTAAATTAAACAGATCTAAATACCAATTATCAGATGTGTATTTAAACAATTTTAACAGTGGAACTCTTTTGCAGTGGAGGTGATGTCATCGCTAGGTAACCGTAGTATGTGTCCTTAAATGGTCTAGTGTCCACTCGGTACATGATGTTTACCTCATATTCTCGTACTTTCCGTTTCATCAGGTGTGTCACAATTTCAAGTAGTTGCCAGCGAACAAATATGTGTTGAGATACCATATTAAACAAACCATCTTCTCGCTTGCGATTTATGAGTAAAACAAACCGCTGATATCTACTTCTATGCTGTGTGTTGCGGTATCATTTGAAAGCAATTTGTGAAAGGAACGATGCTGAAGTATCGGTTATGTTTTGTACGTGTCTATATAGCCTCATGCGATATCCTACCGACGCCTAACATTACTTCACCACCACACGTATACACAATCCCAGACCGGCGCACGATACTGCTGAAATAACCTCAAGCGGCATATGGCAGGGCTCCATCGTCGTAACGGAGGTTGAAAGTCTAACCCGAAACAATAAAAGATAAAAAAATAAAAATAAAAAAAAATAAGCATCGAAAGATCATTACAATGCTATTAAGTCAACACAGGGCATATATTCCGGTTTTTATTGCGCAAAAATAAAACCGGGAACGGAATGTGTGTTCCCCGTATTAATGCGATGTAGTTAACATTTAAAATCTGATATTAAAATTCGTTCTTGTGTAGGCTTTGATTACTTGACGAAACGTCTTTTGCAGTCTAGAAAAAATAAAGTGCCACTTGGAGAAAACCAATCTGTTAAAAAAATAATAAACAAATGTCTATGACAACCATTTTTTGTTCTGCAAACATTTTTTTGGCATCTCGACACCAAATTTGATGATCACTTAGACAATCTTGTCAAACTTATTCCACTGCTTTGACGGGCATGACAGCGAATCTAAAACAGGCTTCAATGACTTGAAACAATTGCTTCTGTGTCAACCAACCCCACATTTGCATCTCGGAAAACCGAAGTCATGACAGCTTATTTCAAATTCAGTTCATTTCCATGAACTAACGACCAGATCAGGCTAGCACTCTCACAACAACGGGAACCAAATAAAGAAATAACGACCATCAAGAATCTCATAAATAATCATCGTCTTCACATAGAAAGATTGGCCAGCCGTTACTTGTTATTGAGATATTCATAATATACTTGCGCTATCATCAGTTTGTGATTTTAATTTGTGTTATAGATGAGCTGTTGGCATTACTGAAATGTTTGTATGTCGATAATATGACTGCAACATTAAAACGAGCTAGACCGAGATTTGAACCCGGAACCCGAATCTCTAGACGATTTCACTCGTTCAATTGAGAGTTTTTTCTCGTCACCAGCGATATTCCTATTTACTGTATATCTCTTCATTTGTTTCCTGCCTTCTTCCTCCGTAGTCTTCCCGTCACTCCTCAGAAGACAACCCATTACAACACAAAATCGTTGTAATTCTTGCAAAGCTCCTAAAATCACTTGTTCCAAAGTGTAATCCGTAGATAACCAATTTTAAGCAGGATGGAAACAATGCAACAAACCTAGACCTTGATTCGAACCCGAAACCTCCAATATCCAAATAGACTAACTAACCTATACTGTACTAGTTGGGTTTGCCGTTGCAACTGTGAAAACAGAGTAGTATGATGTTGGTCCATTGCAATATTAAAACAGTGTTTAGGGTTCCGCGGTGGACAAAGACGCTGGTATTTTTTTCAGCTAGGTGATTTGGTGCTCTAAGTCAGGAGTTCGAATCCCGGCACGAGTAATACGCTGTGTCTTCCTTCTTTATTTGTGTTTCATATAACGATATATAGATACAATAAGTTTGTAGTGATACTTAAAGTAGATACGCTATAAATGATATTATATCAAAAGGATCAAAGCACAAATGTCATTTAAAGACCCTAGGGAATACCACTGTAGTTTTCGATGCATACAGTTACCTCCCCTTAATTTCTTTTTTTTGCCATAGCTAAAGCGCGACGTGGCCAGGGTACTTCGGCTTATAGGGTAACTCAGTTGGTAAAAAGACAATACTGCTTAGGTTCAGGATTCGAATCCTGGTTTATATAAAGCCCCGTTGTAAATGAACGGTTTTTTTCATTTCTTTTTTTTCATTTCATTCTCTTAATATTTTCATAAAGAAGTCCAAGGAATGGATAACTCTCCTGAAACGATTTATCAAATTTAAAGCTACATGATTAGTCATGCCGGACAGCAGTTTCCAATGTTATGTGACAGTTTCAGATAGTGGTATAAGGATCCTTAATGCCGTACTTTTAATCTTAGACGGTATTGTGATGTTTCATTTATACTTGATGACATCGTATCATAAAACATAGCTTATTCAACAACGAACGGTAACAGCTGATGTTTATTGCCGAGATAGCATCGACTCAAGTTAATGGTCAATATATCTGAAATATACGGAATAAACGAGCTCCCTAATGGCAGAGATTTAGCAATCGACACCAATGACATACACAAAATTTACATATAAATGACATTTCCGTCGGCTTCGTTTGATATATATATATAATACTCTAATGATTATTGAGGGAAAATGATTTCATCGCGGTCTGGGTGATTA